CATGGCCGGATTGAATAGGGCTGAGCCCGTGGCCTGTTCAGCGGCAGGTTCCTCATCCTCCGATAGGACCGGAACTTCTACCTCAGGCTCCTCCTGATCTGACACCTCACTAAGGCCCGTGGGGGCAGGAGAGGGTGCCCTAGCTTCAGAAGCCTTGGGGATCTTGGCCTGACTGGGGGCTGGCTTGTGCGCCACAGAGGGCAACTGGGCCGCCCGCTGTACCATGCCATCTGAGATCCCTTTGGATATGGCCCGAGCTACCACCTCCTCCATGGCCCTGGATAGGATGGACTAACTAGAGGTTGAGCCGTTTTAAATCCAGAATGGCCCACCATCCGCCTGAGCTTTTAGGCACCAGGAAAAGAATAGAATAAAATCCTAGCCCTTCCTGTCCCTGGGGAACCCTTTCTATCACTTGAATGGAAATTAGATGTTCTATTTCCACTTCCATCAGGTGCCTCTTCACCTGGCATCTTGGCACCGGGCATCTGATGAACCGCCTCGGGGGGGATGGCGAGGAACTCTAGGGTGAGGCCTTGCCTCACCCTTTGAAGAGCCCACGCATCCAAAGTGGTTTCTGCCCATTGGGGAGCGAATAAGATGAGACACCCTCCAATAGGTCCCACCCCGTACGAGTCACCTGTATTTGCGGAAAGAGCGGTTGCCGTTTCCGTGAAATGGCCACCTGGCCTGCTGGTATGGGACCTGCTGGCAGCCTCTGTCTCTTGATCCTGACCGATCCTGACCTCTATCAAGGTTCTGTTGGAACGGCCTGGTATAGGGGGGAACATAGGGGGCCGTAGAGTACCCTGATTCCCCTGCCCAAAAGGGCTGCCTCCTATGATAGGGCTGTTGCCTCCTGTTGCCGCACCTAGCAGTCGAGGGCATTACCTTGCGTTTATCCCTATTTTCTATTAAAATGGGGTCTAAGGCTGCTCCAAATAGAGGACCCCCTTTCAAGGGGGTGGATGCCAAACGCCACTTGGAACGCAGGTCAGCCTGCCAGTGGCGAAGCCAGAGGAGCCTACATGAAGCTAAGTTAGAGACCAAGGCACAAGAGGCGAATTTGGCTGCATTAAGCGTGGCATCCAAGGCCAGTGCCGCCACTGGAGGGTCCACAGTTGGGAACTGGAGGAGGGTTTCCAGTTCTGGTGTGGAAGCATAAAGCTTCCGGTCTCCATTGCTGGGCGGAGGTACAGCCGTAGGTTGGGCCCACTGTTTCTGGATAACGTCCAGAAACAATTTGCGAGTAGGGATGGCATCTTGCTCCTGCACCTGCTCAGCAAAATAACAGTCAGTGGAGTTGAGGCCTACAGCTGTGCTAGCTTGGGTGGTGGCCCCATCCATTTTGGTAGTTGCTTTGGTCTTATATAAGAGGGATTTGAATAGGGCTGGCCTAAACAAGCCAGAGAAAGCCAGCATGTCTTGTGCCGGGCCATCATCATCAGATAATTCCAGCATCCCAGTGTCTTCTTCCTGACCTAAAATAGAGCCTTCGCTATAAGCTGAAGGCAGAGGAGAAGGGGGAATAGCTAGAGACTGGTGTGTGTGTGTGTGTGTCTCTGGTCATGGTAGCAGAAGGAGGATGCTGAACCCTAAGTTGGATTTCTGCATCCACCCTTTGGGATATGGTTGCCACAATCAGATCATGTAGCTCTGGGGCAGGTCATATTCGAGCCTGTCCCTGGGCCTCAGGCCTGCTCTAGTAGGCATGAATGTAGCTGCAGGTCCAGAATGAGAGGCAGCCTGGCACGTGGCTGGGCCTGTAAGTGGTAGTATGGAAGCAGGCCGAGGATCAGAAGCTTCCTCGTCTTCCTCCCCTCCCGATGATATGGGGAGATTGGGAGACCAACCCTGAATTCCCGCTGGGGGAATGGCAAGAACTGGCGAGTGTCGCTCAGCCATCAATATGGGAGGCGACCTGGTGGCCTGACCGGGAGTTAAGGCCGAAGCCTTGGCCTTCTCCTTGCGCTTTACCGCGCTATCCGTGGCCTTAGAAGCTCTGCGGGGCCCCTGCTTCGAGGCCCTGGTGGAAGTTCGCCCCACCCTGGCTCTAGGCCCCGTCACCTCAGGCGTGAAGGAAAAGGAGGATCCCTCGCTGGCCCCTGATGTTATCTGGTCAGCCATGATAAATTTAACGATCGGAAAAGCAGGCCGGAGTGATTTTAAAATGGCTCAGCTACTTGCCAAGACAGAGTTGTAAGGCAAAGCACTAATTGCGGGTAGCGGACTAACATCTATAGCGAAATGACTCACTCTGACTGGCAACAGAAAGGAGCATGCAATGCAGGCTCTGCCCACGACCTCATCAGTTTCGGTGCGAAAAGGCAGCCACCGGATTGGTCGGCGCCTCACAATCGTCGCAAATTTCAAACCTCAACTCAAAATGGCCACCGCATACTTCACCCGAACAGGGGAAGAACAAAAGCAATGGCCCGATTCAGCTCTCCAGCGCTCGTGGATTTGTAATCGATGCGAGGCACACTCTCTGGGAACTGCCCCAGGGCTCACCGATATCAGGAGCCCGTCGCTGTTCAGTGCGTGATCGGAGGGCTCGGAATGGAAAAACAGCGGGTGCCATCTCCCGTGCCGTCACGAGAACAGCGAACCGACTCTCTCCACGGCCACAAATAAGGCAGAATTCGGCGCACCGACTCTTTGCTAGCCTTCGCGCTTACAATCCAAATAGTGTCTTCCCTCAACCGCTTGAGTCACTAGGAAGCGCAAACATTCATCAGTTCCATAAACGGCACATCCAATTTAATAAATAAGGCAAAAATAAAATAAAACAAAATAAAAACCAAAATAACCAAGCAAATGAGTTGAGTTAATCTATTAACCTAGAGCAGTGTTTTTCAACCTTTTTTGTGCAAAGGCACACTTTTTTCATGAAAAAAATCACGAGGCACACCACCATTAGAAAATGTTAAAAAANATAACTGCATGGAAGGTGTTGGAAGTCTGTTGATTGCCATTCAGTGATGCTCCAGATCTGGAGGAATTACTGATCTGAATATATCTAAAACCAAGTAGTAGATTTGTAGGTGATGGATAATTGCTGTTCCACATTTTCAAAATGTCAAAAGAAGATATACTGTTATAATCCTTGTTTGTACACATGCACAGGTATTTCTGGTAGTTTTTTCTACATGCAGATGGACAAAGGGATTTGTATATTGATATGCATTTTTTAAAAGTATAAATTTCTATAACTGATGGTGAATCAAAGCAATTCAAGTTAGAGAAGGATTTTTTAAAATATATTTTGCTATATAAGAATAAAAAAAATCATAAGGAAATGTCTAGCCACAACCAATAAGAGTAAAGTAACTACAATCCACAAGGGGGAAAAAAGCTCTGTCATACATTGTAAACATTTAAGAAACCATCAAATATTTACTAAAACCTTCTGGCATCTCTGTAGCACACAAAATAACAGTATATTTTCAAGGCCTCTAGGCATTCCCAAAGTTTCTTTAGCTGAGAAGACAAAGCATCTTTTCACAGCATGTAATGTAAGGACTGGCCTATTAATGTATGTAATAAAGATTTGATCTGATTGATTTGACTTGACCATGTTTGACAAAGTATAATGTTTATAGAACATATTCATGATTTTCAGCTGGCAGTCAAAAGACATGAAATTCTTTTAATTTCACAACAGAGATAGGAAAGTAGTATACATTTTATATTATGCCAAGTGTAAGAAAGCAAGAAAGCTTCTAGAAGAAATTAGTGATAAATAAATATGAAAAACAAATTCTACTTATATATCATTCAAAAACAAAAATGGAAAGTTAAAGACAGAAAATCAGCTTTAAGAATATCTTCTCTTCTCTTGTTCCTATTAATCAACATCCAGATAAGCAATAAAGATGAGCAAGAACAATCTATACCAAAAACTGATATGTCAAACTGCTATATAAAAATATCCACTAACTCTCCCTTCATATCAATACACTGATTGTTNTTGAAGTTACAACATTGTATTGAAAAAGTGACTGACAATCAGTTTTTACAGTTACAACCAGGGGTGGGTTTCTCGCCCCATTCCAACCGGTTCCAATGGGGCAGGCGGCGTCCTCGTGCACGCGTGCGGTGCACGCATGCGTACTAGCGTCTGTGTGATGCTCCAGCTGCTCCTGGAGGATCGCGCAGGTGCTGTATGCGTCCTGTGCATGCGTGGAAGCGCAGAACTCGTCAAAACCGGGTAAGGAACACGGGCGGCCGGGCAGGCCCTTTGCCGTTCCCGGAAGTTACTTACTTCTGGGTTCGCCGACCAACCGGTTCGCAGGGATCGCCGCGAACGGTTGAAACCCACCCCTGGTTGTAACTGTAAAAACTGATTGTCAGTCACTTTTTCAATACAATGTTGTAACTTCAAATGGTCATTAAATGAATGGTTGTAAGTCGAGGATTGCCTGTATTTGCAAAATGCCTGCTTAGGAATGGTCACAGTTATCCATGCAAAAAAGTGTAGGAGAAATTTACTTAACCCTGGCTGAATGAACCAGGGAGAATTTTATCTAGTCCAGATCAGCAGTAAATGAGGTAAATGAGGAAATTTCTCTTCCCTCTTTCATATTTGGCTTCCCTCCCTGCCCCCCGGCCATGGTAGGTAGAACCTTCATGTACAGAGTAGAATGGAATCCTACAGATGGTCCTCATTCTCTGACCACACTTGGGGCCGACAGCTCAGTTGTTAAGCAAAAATGAGACTAAGTGAAACCTCAACTGCTTACAATCTTATTTCAATTTTCCTTTGCTTGATAGAATGTTAAAAATCACAAAGGACAGGTTGCAAAGCTGTTTCTTTGTCACTATCGTAACTGTGAACAGTCGCTAAATGAGAACTACTTATGTTTTTGTTACATGTCATCCTTGAACATTTAAAAAAGGCATTCTCTCTGGAAATTCTCGAACCGGTTTCATGTAGGTGCAAATACAACTCCAATGTACGAAAAAGGCTCAAACAAAATATTCTAATACGTACGGAAAGAGAAATTACTAACATTTTTTGATTGCCTGTTATACCTCACGTAATTTTTTTTTACTGAATATTAATTTAATCACAATTACCACAGTTAAGCCAATCAATGTTTGCACGACATACTGAACCATGAACTATCCAGATAATGCTCTGAAGTGTGTCGGATTGAATTTCAGAAGATATGTTGGAGTGCAAAGTACAAGCATATATGCCTATTTGCAACTCTTGAAAGCGTTATCGTCCCTTGGTAGCTGGTTCCGCTGTCAAACTGCTTCTAGTCCTGCTTTCCTTG